TCCTGCCCGGGCTGGCTTTGAACCGCGATCCTCAGATCTCAGCCTCCTGAGTAGCTAGGATTACAGGCGTGAGCCACCAGCGCCCGGCTAAGACTGAGATTTTTGAGGATCACAGTTCAAAGCCAGCCTGGGCAGATAAATCCCAAGAGACTCACCTCCAAATAGCAAAAGGTCAGAAGTGATGTGGCTCAAATGGTAGAGTACCAGCCATGAGTAGAAAAAGCTAAGGGACAGTGCTCAAACATTGAGTTCAAGTCCCAGTGCATACACACACAACGTTCTGGTGAGGTGGAGGAGTCAGATTCTCCTCCCCTATACTAGGGGTGGCAGGGGAGGGAGAAATCACAGAAGGGTCATGTCCCAATAGTAGTAGCACAAGTATAAGTGTTTAGCAAGCAGAAAAAAAGGAGAAAAATTCCTTAAGGCTGGATAACCTACTTTGTTGGGCCACCAGCTGCCTTGTGGCTTAGCTCCTGAGCTGCCCAACTGCCCACCACCTCCCAGAGACTGTGTGTGTTCTGAGAGCAAAAGCAGGCACTACATGGAAACACACAGCAAACAGGTCTTCTGTGAATACATCGGCACCATTTATTCAGAAAATGCCTCTTACAGAAGGTTGGGGGGGGGAGGGGGGGACAGGTAACTTGGTCATAAGAATAGCCCCTGAGGGTGGGATGGCCTGATTCAGTCAATGACACGCCCCCCCCAGGGGGCTGTGCATCCTCCAGAGCTCTGGAGAGATTCTAGACCTGGGCTTGGAAAGGAAAACCATTTTCCTCTGCAGCCAGAGGTCAGGAAGTTTCAGGGAGTCGTCTTGACCCTGGCCCGTGGGGCCTTCAGCAGAAGCCTGACCACCAGGCTGGGCAGAGCTCCTCTGCAGGCAAGACTTTGCTTCCTGTAGCTGTGTACTCAAGCATCCTGACCTGGGGTCTCCCGCCTGGACACTGGGATGGAGGGGCCATGGCATCTCCTGGTCCATGAGGCTCATCAGCTCTTGAAATAAGTCAACTCAGACCTACTTGCCACTGGGCCTCCTAGCTAACTCTATAAAGCGAGCATATGGACACATGGAGGCTCTTTCGGCATAGTCAGATGGAGCTCTATGCACACAATCACTGCATTTCCTGCCTTAGCCTTGAGCCCCTCCCCCTAGACCACAGCAGGCAGTGGCCCTCCTGGTAGCCACCTTTGTACCTGCTCTGCATAGCTGGATCCACAAAGCACAAGATAGTGAGAAGCCAGCTCGAACTTCACCCAGTCCTGGAGACATAGCTTGGTCCCTCAGGATAGAGCAGGCTGCAGTCCCAGGCCATCCAGATATCCTGGCTGTTTCAAATAGTCTCCGGAGCAAGGGCGGTATGCCAGAGGCCACAGCTGGTTTTAGTGATGGTGAGCCATAGCCATTTCTCATTCCTCTTCCTGGCCACAAGAACAGGGGTGTGCAGAGGCTTCAAATGGCCCCAAGAGCACCACAAACTGCAAAAATCTAAAATCCATACAAACATTTATTCTGTCCCTGCCTGGGGAAGGGATACAAAGAGCCCGCAGAAAGTGGGGGGGGGGGGGAGGCTCTGTGGAAGACAGTCCAGTGGCCCTGGGCCTGGGGGGGCACATCTGGAAGGCAAGACCCTGGGGCTGGCAGGGCTGGCTTGGCTCTCCGAGGTCACCAAGTTTAGGTGGGCTGAGGAAGGTTCTGGAAGCTGCCTTCCCCAAGGCAGACCCAGCCCAGGCAGGCACCTAGGCCCACAGGGCCAGACCTTGAGGCCCCTGGCCCATGGCTTGGGTCTGGCTCAGGCCCACCCCTTCCCCTAGCAGGAAGGTGGGGCCAGGGCCAGGATCCTCCCACAAGGGAAAGGAAGTGTGCAAGTCAACAGGTTTAAATTAAAAATTAATAAAAATAACAATACAAAATAAAAAAAAGACAACTCCTGTCTCAAACAAGCCCGCCCGCCCTCCCCCCCACATATATCAAGTACAAAGGGGCTGAGAGGCGGAGATAGGGACCTGGCTCAGAGCTGTTCTGGTCAGCAGCAGCTCCACCAGGCCTAGGGGCACAGAGGTGGGGACAGGTGCGGGCTGGTGGGGTTGAGCTCCTGGTTGGTCTTGCCTTGGCTGTTGCGACACCATCTCATCCCTGCTCCTGCGTTCTGTTCTTGTGAGGTGCACAGGGTTAGCTCTCAGATTTATTGCACTGTTTTGGAAGAGGCCTGGGGCTAAGGACAAGCCGGGGCTGCAGGAGAGGCAGGTGGGCAGGCGGGCAGGTGGGTGGGCAGGTGGCGGGGTGGCAGGTGGTGGGAGTCATCGCTTGGTCTTGGCGTCTTCACGGATCTTCCAGATCACGAGGTGCATGCAGGCGCTGGCATCCTCGCTGGAGCTGTGCCCATCCACTGCGGGGCAAACACAGTTACCAGCTGCCCCACCCTGGAGAATGGGCTGAAGTGGCTGCTACTCACCATTGTCCTGGATGATCTGTCTGAGGTAGTCAGCCATGAGGTTCCGAAGGGAGCGCTTGTAGGGCAGGCCCAGACGGTGGGGAAACAGCACGGACGTGTCTACCAC